GGGGTGCTTTGATTGAAAGGTGCAATTTTTCCGCCCATCATATTTGGTATTTGTCTAAGGCGTTTAAAGAAAAAAAGCTGGGTTGGTCAATGAAAATGTCGTTGAAAAAAAGTAAAAGAGGAGGTCTTCCTGGAAAATTTGGCAGCTCAAACAAAATTTAGTGTGGCGGTACTTTTATAGCCCAATCGGAATAAAACTCAAATCGGAATAAATCCTTACCGTGCGGAGCTTCCGCCGTAAACTTTAAGCCGCAAAATAAAAAGCATTTTTTTTGAATTTTTCTCGGTAAAAAAATCTGTTAAATGAAACTGATATTTTGCTTTAGGGCAATATAAATAAGTCACCGGGAAAAAACACGGTGTTAAAATATGAATAAAAACAATTGTCCAGAGTAAAAATGAACAGTTTCCATTAAATCAACTAAAATGATTGAAAAACGGTCAAGCGTTTTTTCTGTTATTTTCAATTACAATTAAAATCAGTATTTAGAGCTTTTTTTGATAATTTTGTAATTGTAATTTGTTTCGACTAGACTGTCTGAATAAATTTTTTCTATTACAAACTGGGCAGAAACTTATGTTCCTTATTTTTTTTCTGAAAATTTTAAGGCGACCAGCTTGCTTCTGTAAATATGGGAGATTTCGGGCTATCACTCATTATTTGCATATCAAAGGATTTTATTGGTTGTTTGACTATAAAACGTTGCCTCAAAAAAGGCCCAAAAACTAAAAAACGTTGAATTGAAACATAAGGCTAATTAAAATGAGAACGGATTCCGCAAAATGCTCCTAGTTTCTAATGCTAACTTTCAATTTCGCTGTTTATCGATGTATTATCTATTTTTTTGTGGATTAATCAATTCATTGTTGAAACCAAAAGCTAATACCGCACAAGACTGCTTGTATATCAGCTCGAAGCTTTGAAAATTCCGACTGAATTTTAGGGCCGAACTATAGGTTTTTAAGCTGAAAAATTGACTAAATAAAAAAACACAGTTTTTTTTTCAATGTTTTTAATCCAGTTTATCGCTACACAAATGATAAAAAAATTACAAGAGAAGTTTTTAGCGCCTTGTCTTTTAATAAAAGACCAAATAACATTTTGAACCACTTGGTCTGGCGCTTACGCGTATTACAAAAACGCAACATATCAAGCAATAATTGTCCCAAATCGGCCAAGTAGCATTTGCATTTTCTAAAACCACATAATTTTATCACAGTTGAAGATTATTCCAGTTTCATTTGAGCTCCTGATAGCAATTTCTTCCAGCTGTTATAAAAAATTTTCATCAAAAGAGTTTTCTAAAAAATCATAACATATATATATATATATAATGCAAAGATTTGTGGAACTCTTCTTATCACCCCAGACGTAATTGTTAAATGTAATTAGCGTCTCAAAGCCTAATAAAAAGACTAAAAAGACCATAAATTGATTAAACGTGAAAATCTGATTTTCCCATAGGAGTTACGGACAAAAAATTTTTCAGATAAAAAAGTTTGCTTTCAAACGCTGAGTTAAAAAGTCGAAAATTGACTGAAGAAATAACCCCCCAAGCTTAATCGTTTCCCTTTTTTTTCTTCATAAGTTGAAGCAACAAGAGTAAAATTACGATGCGGAACTTAAAATCAATGGATTGTCTGCGTCCTGCTTCAACTATTCATCTTAAAACTGTGATGCTAGAGTACGGGATGAAATCATGACATACGCTAAATGAAGTGCTGTATAGAATATAAATTAAATCAAATTCAGCCAGGCCAGTTGCTGTGCTAATTGCACAAAATGTTCCGATCAATATCATCATTCAATATCAAAGAACTAAGTCAAGTTTCTAAGAAACCAAGAAATTTTACATTCTGTTTTTTTCCTAATTTTTTTGAAAGAAAAACAAAAAACATTTTGTTCTTTCAGATTCTCTGTAAGTATTTATATTCAACTTTTGTGTTTAAGGCTGGTTGAAAATGTACAAACTGTATACAAATCGAATAAAATTACGTTTAATTATGACAATATAAAAAAGCAAAGTTTTTCTTGACACTGCCAAAACTATGGACGAAACACGCCCAAAGGCAACGTTTGATTCCACTTTCGCGGGTTAGAATAAAAATGTAATTATTTGTCTCCAGATGATTAGATGAATAAGCAAACATTATTTTCCTTGCTAAAAACAGTGTGAGAAAATCAGAAGTGATTAAACAGCGCAAATTATTTTTTGAGAAAAAAACATGTAAAGGCACAAAATTAAACCTTATTCACGCAAAAACTAAATATTCAAATGCCAAGCGCACGGTTTCCCGCAGTAAATGTGATTAAAGCTTGCGAAACGAACATATGACCAAAAAAACAAATATTTTTCCAGGATGAGTTTGAAAAACCTAACCAAATTGAACAAATTGAAATTGAAAATATCAACTTCTTCAAAAATGGGACTTTTTGTAAATCGCGTCCTTTTTTTTGACTGACAGCGAACATACGAACGATAATTTTTAACTATAATTATTGTCTGTTTTTTTCGCGAAAAAAACAGTGCCTGTACTACGTTATAGACAAGTTCCAAGTTTACATTTAAAATTTTTTATATATATTCTGATTTTTGTTCCCTTTAAATTAAAAAACTGAGCCTGAACTACGTTATAGACAAAAAATCCAACTATACATGCAAAACTTTATTTATTTGGAAAAAGCTGGTTTTTTCTAGATAAGATTATGCGAGGAAGAAAAAATAATTTAGAAAAGTAAGTCATATAGTTTTCATAGTATGAAAATATATGATAACGATTTGACAAAAATTTTCGTTTTAATTTTTTATCTCAAAAAAGAGCTTCAATATCAATACATGTTGCGTATCAGCTATAAATGTTCAATGTGTGTTTTGAATTTCGAAAAAAAGGTGAAAAACTTTGCTTTCGTGTGTGCTTTGGATTTTTTTTCCAGACAAATCAGTTACCACCAATCATCAAAATGGGTCCGGTGATAAATCAGCTTAGAGTTTTTCTGAAGTGATTCGAACGATATTACAGAACTTTCAGAAAGTTCTTCTGGTATCGAGAAAAACAGAACTAAAACTTTTGCTGTTCAGTCCTAATTACAAATAAAGCGAGCAAGCAGAATTACAGTAGCTTCTTCATGCTTAACTTACGCCTGAAAGCTTAGCTTTTCTCAAACTTTCGATTTTTAGTCTCAAAAAAAATCAAATTAAAATCAAAACACTGCAGAAAAATTGAATACATTTTTAAATTTTTTTGTATTTCCAGTTACTTTTCTACAAAATCTCGTGTCAAATTTGCTTATTTTACTATGATTGTCGAATATTCTTGAGCTCTAATTTTTTGTTCAGATTCTTCTATCACACCACGCAGAAAAAAGACACTACTTTGAAAAAAAATTTGTTGTACTTTTCAAGACTATGGTCGGAACTTTCTGTTCAATCCTTGTTTAATTTAAAAGCTTTTTGCTATTGAAAAAAAATGCTAGTAATTGTTTTTAAAAACCCTAAAAATTTGAAAAATTCTTGGTTGTTGTAAAATAAAAATTCCCATATTTCCTAATTCTGCAATTTTGCAAAGAAAAACACAGAGTGCGGTCTGTATTTAGACAACCGCGTATTCATGCTCGTCAGTAAGCAGACAACTACTATGAATACGCAGTTGTCTAAATGCTGCTGCGTAACCGAACAAAACGCTTCTCGCATTGGTTCGTTTGGTTAACACAAATGCAATTATTTTAATTTTTAGCCGATTTCTAGCAAGACCGAATTTTGAGCAGATGTAAAAATTTGCATTTTAGTAGTGTTTTTTTTTCTGGTCTGTGTAAAACTTTGCAGGTTATTTGAAACCAACATGAATAGTTTTACTCTTAAATATTATTTTTGGCCAATTCGGTTTGTTTATAAATCGACTTAAATTTATGAACAAAACTTTTTGAAATGGTGCTGAAAATCGATTGGCTTATTCTAGCCCATCAAATTGGGGCGGGGTCGTAAGTGTCTTAGCGGTTATTTTGTATAACTTTTTTTTTCAGGATCAATTTTTATGCAAATGCTTTTAGAAAAAAATGTAAGGGCTTCTGCACTTAAATTAGAAAAATGACCGAGGTGGCTCCCTAAACATGCTCATGCTTGGTTTTGCACGAAGTCGAGCTGAGAGTTTGTAAGCTAGTGTTCTCAAAAAGTGCACCATTCTTTTTAAATTAAAAAAAAATTAAGTTCCGTTTTGAATTTTTTGAGGATGTTTTTTCATTTTACCGTTGTTCTTTAAACTCTTTTTTAAAAAGTTTTTCTTATCAAAATCTCATTATTTGCACTGAGCTTAGTGACTGGGTTGCAGTCGTCGAATACTGCAGTTCAAAAGACAAAACTGACAAAGTTTTAACAGACAATCATGTTTTTTTTCAGTTGACCTCCGCACCAGCAAACATTTAAAAAATATATATTTTGCAATTTACATGGTTTGAAATGACAAGCTAGAAAAGAAATCTTGGGACCTTGATTGACAACTTGATACTCGCCAAGAACTTGAACTATTTTGCTACATAAAGTTGAAACCTTCCACTGATGTTACAATGCAAGATATGAAACGATATTGACGTTAAAGTTCAAGACAGTTGGTACACTCTGACCAAGGTTACATTCAAAGATTACAATGGTTTATAAATAACTTAAAAGCAATACCCCCAAAAAATTCAAAAACCAAGCAACTAATGTGAAATTGCTTTTTCCTAAATATCAGTAGATATTGAGCCTCGTAAATAATTATTACTACTTTTTTCATCGGGTAAAGCAGCAATCAGGTGAAGCTAAAAAGATATTTGGTGCTTTATGAAGAACCAAATTTGTATCCTGGGTTAATGTCTATTAAGCTATTAAGGCTATTTTGTGGCCTTTTCTGTGTTCAATTGCAACCAATGAATACGAATCATGATGAGGCTTTAAAGTGTCGTCCTATTGCTTCGATCGAAACAACAAATCCTGTTTTTTTTGCCCGATGTTTGACTAATCTGACCTTGACGTCGAGAGCGTCACCACAAACGTGCGGGGAGTTCTTGTGACTCATGCTGCTGATAACGCCCTCAGAAGTACGGCAGTCCCACATCTGAACAGAAATTACACTTCAATAATCTGTTAATAAATCGGTTTAACCCTAAGAGGTCAAAAGTTTTATAAGCAAACAAAGACGAATGAACAAATTAACATCATATCAGGGCAAACAGTTTGGTGAATGTACAAACTTTCTTGGATCTAAACCTAAATATCAATGTAAAGCTAAATATTTTGGTGAAAACGAAGTTTAAGTTTTTTCTAAGCAAATTGGATTTAATAATATTTTGCTGTACCGTTCAGAGCAGACTCAAACTCTAATTTGATTATTATCTAACTCTATTTCGATTTCTGAAAAAAACTGTGTCAACCTTTTTCTAGGACAGCCATTTGGAATTTGTCGAGCTCTGCCGAAATCCCAAAATGACCACATTTGGAAGAAGTTGCAACCCAATTGGAATAGAAAAGTGAACACAAAAGTCTGGTTGACAAAGAGGTTTCCAAAGAGTTACTCTTTGTTACTTTTTTATGACCAGTTTTGTTGACCTATCCTACAACTTTTCTAAAGGTGCCTTGGGCTCCAATATACACAAAATTTAAAGGGGAAAGCTCGCATCTAAAAACAAAAATTTTTTTGGTCATAACCTTCCAGGAAGTGCCTTGCAGCGTCATGTTCGGCCTGTTTTTTTCAGCAAATTGACTGCGGGGCAGAAAGTTTTGGCAAAACAAAGCTTAATAGAATTCGAGAGTTTAAGGGTAGCTCAGAAAATTAATGAAGTCGACTTAAAAAAGACCGTCTAAGCTTTCAATTTTTTTCTTCGAAAAACCGCTCCCCCACCAGCGGATTTAGAGCCGATGGGGGGGGGGGGGTGAAACCGCCTTTTCCCCTTAGGAATTCGACCTCCTGCCGACCCAAAGGGTTCCCCTTTGTACTATTTCGAGATATACATTTTAGGTGACGGACCCTACAATTTTTCTAAAGGCGCCTTTGGCGCCAATATATACTAATTTTGAAGGGTGAGCGCGCGCCGAACGCGATGTTTTGGGAAAAACTTTCCAAAAGTTGCCTAAAACCGCCTTTTTTGGCCTGTTTTTTAGGAATTTTGCCTTCGGCGCGGAAAATTTGGTCAAAATGGGGTCTTTATAGCCATTTACGAGAGCTCAAAAAATCAACTTGGTCGACCTAAAAAGAAAAGGCCGACAAAATTTTCGAAATTTTTTGAAACGCTGCCTGCCCCCCGCCCCCCTGGAGAAAACCCTAGATCCGCCCCTGCGCTATCCTCAAAAAAATCTGCCCACATCACTGATTAGACCCTTAAATCAAGCAGACGGACGAATCTAATAAGCGAATAATTTTCAAAACCTTATTTTAAATGCAGCAACCCTGAGCTGTGACTTTTCAAAACTACCTAGTGATGAGTAACTACTTGAAAATGATTTCAGATAAGTACTGATAGGTAAAGTCTCATTTGTACCGATTTTGTTGCGAAAACAAAAATCACCCTAATTTGTTCCAAAATTTTGCTAAAATTATCAAAATTGGTTCAAAATTATTCCAATTAAACTTCAATGTTACATTATTTACACTACACAAAGTTATTTAAATGGAAATGCTGTTATCCCAATTGTGTATTTTAGGTTTGTTAACGATGGTTAATGAGCCCAAATTTTAGAAAAACGAGACAAGTGAGTCTCTATTTAAGCAAAGTAAGCTGAATGAGCCCAATTTGATGGTAAATTGGGCTGAATTATTGGTACCCATTTTTAGTATAATCTGCATGCGATCAAAATTTTAAACAGGCGCTGAATGAGCCCACTTTTCAGAAATTAGGAGCTGAGTTAGCTTAATTTTCAGCATGAGGCGCCGAAAGACTCCAATTTTCTAAAAATTGGTTCAGCCATTGCATTTTTCTAAAAACTGTGCTTCTTTAGTGTAGGTTTGAAAACAATCAGCAATTGTCACTCTAAGGATTGGTGGAACAGATAAGAACAGAAAACTTTTATAGTCAGTTGGTTCGAATGCTGCCAATTTGTCCTTATTGGGGACAAATGAGCGCAATCTTTTAAGTTTTAATCTCAAAACTAGGCTTTCTTGGGTCCACATTTTGTGTGATAACACTAGGACCAGTCGCGCTAAAAATTGGGATCATTCGGTTTTTCCACTGAAAAAATGTTGATAAAAAATTTGACCCGGTTGTATGATGCTGAGGATGTTAAATTCTGGATAAAAGTTTTTGAAGATATTTCACCTGCATTTTAATTTTTTAATTATAAAATTTAAAAATTGTCATTTTGGTTTGAAAAGCCCAACTTATATGCATTTTATGTTCCCAGTTTCGACAAAAAGGAGTACTATATTGCTTGAGAAAATTTTTACAGTCAGTCCAATTTTCGAAAGAAAGTTAATAAGTGAGAATTGAACAAAAGATCTACCTAAATTCGAGCCACTGTGCTATGCACTATCATCAATACACTTTTAGCTAATGTACACTGCTGGCTTATTACTTTAAAGACTTTATCAATGATGGTGGAAGGCAATACGCAATATTATCTCACATATAAAATATTCCGAATTAAAATCAATTTCATTGGTGATATAATTGTTCCGACTTTCCATTACGAGGCCAAACAGTGCTTTTTGTAAATTGTAAGCGGATTTTGCAGCAAGGACGCTCCCTTTGTTCTTTTGTTGTTCATTCATTTTCTTTGATCGTTCCGACAAAGTTTTCTCATGTTTAAAGACTTATCTCTGGAATCCAGGAAAACGCAGACATAAAATTGTGAGCCTATCCACTGCACAGCTTGGCCTCGTAATGTCACAGAAAGTGTGAAATTTATTTGCTCGGGGTAGTTTTTTTATTTAGACCAAATTTTTTTAGAACAAATTCCTCTTGGGCAAGCGATCTCTGGATCTTCGTGGGCCCTACCGAGTGGGCCCACCGTTATATCATCCTGCCACGAGCCCACCAAACTGCTCGTTTTTTTGTACTTTAATATTGAAATTTTAACCTAAATTATTTATGCGTGGCGAATTATCTCCCACTTCTTTCCAACAAAAAATCTTTTTAATTTGAATTGAGGCAGGCAAAAATAGTTTGCAGTTAAAGGGCAGTCGGAACATTGAGGGTTTTACCCTGATATGCGAGCTGTCTTGTTTTAGTTATACTGCTCAATGTTTAGCGTCCAAATGGCAAATCTGAGCGTGGCAAATGATTTCAATTTTTAAACCGCTCAAGTTTCAATTCAAAAAAATTTGAGACAATTTTAAATGACTCAAACATAATCATTTTGTAGCTGCTAATGTTTTTAATTATTGTCAATGTTAATGTTGTCATTTTTAGTTCGCATTCCTTGGATTAGGATTCAAACACAAGCAAAAAAGGCGCCAAAAACTAAAGAAGAGAATTAAATGTTTTTTTTTCTAGTGAGTAATGGTGAAATCAGATAACTTATAATTTTTTTTTTTGAAATTTTACCAGAAAAATCAAATTCCAAAAAAAATTTTGCAAAAAAGAATCCAAATCAAGTTAAAGAGCAATTGGAACAATCAGGACTTTACCCTGATACGAGCGGTTTTCTTATTCCGAACATCGTTTTCAGCTCCACTAAAAACTAAGCTGTACTTTTGTGATTATGTGAGTCGATACCAAATGTTTCATCCCCAGGAGGTGAGTGGTTGTAATAAACTACAATACATAGAACTGACCTTGATGGAGTTGTCCCACCCGGCTGAGTAGAAACAGTGAGGGTGTGAGGGGGACTCTTTCAGAGCAAACACTTTCTTAGAGGGACGGCAAGTGCTGCTGTTCGAGCTGGATGTCCTGTCAGTTTTGGATCCATGGTATGCACGTGTGATCTGCAACACACATGATTGGTTCTTTGTAATACAGCGGAAACTCAAGTTTTAACACTTATTTTACAAATAACCTAAATGCTTCTGTGTATACAGGGTGTTTCAGATAGATGTATTAGGTAATACACCATTTAGTTTCACGATGAATCACACTACGAAAAAACCCTTTTTCGGGAAAACCTGCTGAGTTAGGGCTGGAGTGTATAACTCATAGAGTAATTTCGGATAGGGTACACCGTCTGCTCGTCACGCTATCTTATTTTCGGCCGGATAGATTCGTGCAACTTCTTAGTCTAATACCGATCCTAATCTTACTCTTATACTATCTAGTCTCAGGTTGTTTAACTAGTCTCTGCTAGGCTCAATAGATCTAGGGTATACTGGTTTATTGCGGCTGCTGAAGTGCTCGGGAGAGTCCAACTAATTTCTAAGTTAAATTCAAATCTCTCTGGTGCTGAAATTACAAGTAACTTCAGCACTTACAAATAAGTGGGTTGTTAGTTAGATGGATCATGATTGGTTAATATTAAATACTTTACATTGGTAAAATATCTAATTTATCCAATCATAAAATGTAGTTTAGATCAGGTTCCACCCATCCGGGTTTTACAGAGTTTTTTAGAATAGTTCTTCTGCGATTCGAAGGATGGATGATGGACGTTGGTTTTTGGCGAACATCATTTTCTTCCGTTTCCTCTTTGTTAAAGAAGTTCCAGGAAGCTGGAGTTAGAGACATAAGACGTTGTGTCTTCTAGTGACAACGACTAAGTCTTTGCAACAAACTCAAATCTGATTTCAGAATGGTTGGCTATGTCAGGTTTTTCTGTTCTGCGTGGAGAACTTCTTTTGTGTCTGATCTAGTTTGGGAATGGCGTGGAGATTGTGCGTGGAGGGGATGCCTGGTTACTCGGATCTGTACGTATACTTGAACATCGAGGTGGTCATTGGTCTAGTTCAATGAAGTCCTTTTCTGCGAAGTCAAGTCGTACTCTAAATCCTTTGAGTTGTGATTGTGAGTGGCATATCGATTGTGGTTGGTCATTCTCTCTCGAGTGTAGTGGGGTCGTTTTGTCTTTAGATGTTCGTCCTTGGTGTTGTATTCTGATCTATGTATTGCATAATGTAATTTACATTTTATAAAACATTTATTAGTTTAATATTTTTTAATTATGATTTTAGTTAGTTGTTTTCACAAAAGCTTTTTGTTTTAGTTCGGTTATTTTGAAGAGTTACTCACCCTTGAGTAGCTCTTATTAAAAATAGAGGTGTGGTCACAAAGCGTGGATGTAGCGCGGTGGGTTAGGCCGGCTATAGAGCATGCTCAGGACGTCCTTCCTGGTGGGTTAGGCCAGGAGTGGGAGTATGATTTCATGTGGTTTTTATGAGGGGTCCTGTTATGTGACAACGTTTTATGTTGGGTTTGTTGTGGTTTTTCTTATGTCTTGTTGGTTATGTCCTTTTTCCAAAAAGCAAATTGTTCGTGGTATGGGTTTGTCTTTCGACTTTTTTGTGTTTTATTATTTCTTTCTTAGACTTTATAATAGTCTTCAAAAGAATAAATTATCCAGTTTTAAACTGGGTTAATCCGGTTTGGGTACCGTTGGTTTCCTTTTCTTAGTCATGCTGTTATTCTATGATTTGTGGTATTTAGTAAGCTGCGTTGGTTAGTTTTGTTTAGTATATGATTCCTTTCCAACCGGGTTAAAGGAAGGTTTGAAACATGTTATTATATGTTAGAGTTGTTGAGTGTGAAAACTTGAAACTGAAATTCATTATTTTAAACAATTCTTCGTGGGCGAGCTGTGCGAGTGTGGATAGAATTTCTGTGCGAATGAATGAGAATATCAAAAGGTTAGTACTGCATTTGCATTTTATTAATTTACTGCATAGAATTTGGAAATTTACTGCTAGTTATGGGGGAATTTTAAGTTACAAATTTTCATCATAATTAGATTTACTGCTTGTGGGGAAAATTTTAGAAATGAATTTACTGCATTGGTATTAAATTTATAAATTTATAAGTGTAAGAGATTAATAGAATTTTTGAAATCTGTTTGATGAAATTTGCGATTTTTATTTGTCTTTTGTGGTTTTTGTAGGTGATTGTCGGATGAAGGCTAAAAACCTAAAGAAAACATGGATAAAGTATGGTGAGTTTTTTAATATTTTAATTAGTTAGTAATATTTATTTAATTCATACTTACCTGTTAGTCGTCGGGGAAAAAACCGTGGGGGAAGATGTCGTGGATGAGATCGGAATTTGTTAGTAGTTTAGCTAAGATGCGGATGATATTTTTAGTCTGAAGCAGTGGCCAAAGCAATTGAAGTGCCTTAATAGTGGTTAGTTCTTCAGTGCCAACTGCAAACTCATAAGGTGTGTTTTGGATTAGATTATATAATTTGTGATTGAATTTAGTGTTGTGGATGAATTCTAAAATTGGGATTTCTATAGGTTGTACAAACTCGTGCGGGATAAGGAAGGGTCGGGATTCTTCGGCGTTGAAGGTCTTGGTGATGGGACAGAAGATGTACATTTGGGTTATGGGATCATAATTGCGAAGAATACCATGAAGGTTAGTATCTTTAATGCAATATGTGAAATTTAGGAAAAATGGTGAAGTGTATTTGGAATTAATGAATTGAAAACGATGGTGTGGTTGTCTAGAGGGTGTGTGTAGGTCAAAGTGATTTTGGATGAAGCGATAATAACTATATGTGTGGGTTTGTTTAGTGCGCAACATAATATCGTGTGAGCAGTGTAAATCTCTTTCGTGTGGTGCAAGGAAATGAAAGGTTAGTGAAAATATTTGGAAGCGTTCTTTAAAACTTTCGTATGCTTGTGTGTCTGTTAGTGCTTCTGAAATAATGTGATCAAACTTTCGGTCGAAGATGTTTAGTGTAAATATATATGGTGTCTTGATGAAAAATTTCTCGGTAATTTGTGGATTAGCGAAGCGATCGTCGTCTAAGAATTGATCTTGGTTAGCTCTGATGATGTTGTGATCATAGTATTCGAGTGTATATTCGTTAGCTCTAGGTGCAGTGTGTGTTTTTAGTGATTTTTTATATCCAACGTAAGTAAATTGTCTAGCTGTTAGTGGTGTAGTGAGTCGATATAGCATGTCCGTATTTCGCTCTATATCGATGTGAGTGTTAGATAAAGGTAAGCAAAGAGGGTTAGTAAAATGATAATATGAGGTCCAAGAGAGAGTGGGCATTAAAACGTATTCATCTACAAAGTTGCGTGTTTCGTTAGTGTCGTGGGGGGTGTTTAAGGTGTATTGTGGGAATGAGGGTAAGGTGATGGCTAAAAATTCTTTTGTGTTAGTATGCTTGGGGTGGTTGATGTATTCACGGGCTGTTCCTGGTTTTGCTGGGAAAGGATGGTTGGGGAACTTTCTTTTAAAAGTGCGGTAAGCTCTATTAGTGTTGAGTGAAGATTCAGTTGATGTGGATGATGGTGCTAATGATTCAGTATAATTTGAAGAGGGTGTAGGGGTAGGGGGGTTGGATGAATTTATTGTGGAGGAGATTTGGTTTATTGTTGGGGTATGGAGGTGGTAGGGTTGTTGTTGAAGGGTAATAAAATTATCTAGCTCTGGGGAGATTCGGGGGTGTCTGGAGAATGAGATGATTGGTCAGAATGAAGTGAGGAGTAGGTTGGGGTAACTTGGGAAGCATAAGAGGGTGTGGAAGTGATTGGGTCAGGGTTATTGGATAATATGGGTTGAAAAGGGGGTTGAGAAAAATTAGAAGAGTTATGAAAATTATTGGATGGGGATGGTTCTGAGTCGGCAAATTCATCGGGGGTTTCAATATTCGGGTTATTGAGTTGTGAGATGGAATATAAAACTGAGATGTGTGAATTAGTGTCGGAATTCATGCCTGATGTTACATTACTAGATGGAAAATCGGGTGGCGGAAAAGCAAAAAGTGGTATTATTGGGATTGGAGAGGTAAGATTGGTTGGGTGGGAATTTGATCGGTGTAGTGATCCAAGTTGGCGGCTCATCATGGGCTAAAAAAATGATTATTTTGAGACTGAAAAGCGGTGGTATGGGGTTGTTCAATAATTTGTTCATAAGTATTATCATCTTGTGACTGGTGTGTCATTATATGTTGGATGGGACTTTGTGATGTGGTGAGTCGAAAATTTGGATTATGTGTGATGGCTAAATTTCGAAAATTTCGTGGGACTAGGGATAGTGGATGGTTATTTGGTAGGGGTGGTAATTGTGGTGCCGTTGGCGTTATGTCTACATTGTTATGTTCTTCGTCGTATGTATTTTGTCGTGTTGCTATTTTTGTGTTATATTCTTTTATTTGTGCGTCTAAAAGAATTTTGTTTATAGATGTAGAAAAGATTCCAAAAAATCCTGCAAAGAGTATGCGTGCTACGCTTGCTTGTCTGTTTACTTGTGTGTGTATAGCACATGTGTTGTAGATTCCTTTTAAAAGTGAGAAAAGAAATCCAATAAAGTTAAACATTGCGTATAAAATAGTCAATTTTTCTAAGATGTAGTAGGGCCATCCTAGAAAATCGAGGATCTCATTTTTGAGTGTAACAAAGCTAAAAATGTTAATTGGTGATATATCTTGGGGACGGTATTTTTCACCGTTTAGATATATATAATCTTTAATGTCTTTAAAATATCCGCTATAGTCTTGCGTGTAGATATCGGCAAATCCTGCGGTTTCCGCAAGTTTGCGTAAATTTTGGTCTATTGATTGTCTTTGTATAGTGTCCATTTGTGTTAATAATTCTTGGAATTGTTGTGTTCTAATGTGATGTTGAATATCTGATTTTGAATAGATTCCTATTGATTGTAAGTCTATATTTGGGTTTCGAGCAATAGCGCGAATGCTTTCTGGTGAAAATTTTTTGAGTGATTGCATTAATGTGGGATATGGAGTGAGAAGATAATATTTATTTTCATCAGGGTTTAGTTGTACTACATTGTGGCTGTTTTCTGATCCACATGGGACTGCGGTATCCCAGAAAT